TTTTGGATTTAGACTTCCTTATGAAGTCTACTGTTTACGTCTGCATACGAAGTCTACTTTTAAGTTACTTTTGTAGTTTGACCAAAAACGTATAGGTCATTTTTGTGTTTGACTTCTGTTTTTCAAAAATAAAAAATTAAAAAAATTCCAAAAACCATAAGTAGACTTCACAAAGAAGTCTACATTTTGTAGACTTCTTTGTGAAGTCTACTTATGGTGTTCGGTCAAACTTAGAAGGAATCCTTTTTTGAGTAGACTTCATTGTGAAGTCTACTAAAAAAATTCAATTGCAAAAATAACCTATTTTGTTTCGTAGACTTATATTTAAAAAGTAGACTTCAAAAGTAGACTGTCAGAGAAGTCTACTCTGACATGAAGTCTACAATAGAAGTCTACTGTGTTAGTCAATGCATCGGTCAAATGCTAAAGTAACCTTTTTTGACTGAAGTCTACTCATGAAGTCTACCGGAGGAAAAGTCAACAGATTGGTCAATTGCAAAAATGACCTCTTTTTTAGTAGACTTCATTAGTAGACTTCTAAGTGAAAAAGTAGACTTCTCCTCTAGTCTACATTTGAAGTCTAATTTAGAAGTCTACTTTCCCATGTTTTTTTTTTAAACGCGTTTTAAGCAAATGTATAAACTATTTTTCAAATTTTTTGGTTCAGAATTGCTTCATAGTAAGTGATTGAACTACCCAGTGAATTTTATCTCATTTCATTAGATATTTATTGTTGAATCAGAGGTTTCGATTTTTAAGGTACTTAGCTTATAAAAGTAGACTTCGTCGTGAAGTTTACATTCGATGTCTGCATTAGAAGTCTACTTTTTGGCGTTTTTGTAAAAACGCGTTTTAAGGAAAATTATAAAATATTTTTCAATTTTTTTGGTTTATATTTGTTTCTTAGTTAGTGATTGAACTACCTAGTGATTTTTATTCCGTTTCATTGGATATTTATTGTTAAATCAGAAGTTTAGATTTTTAAGGTACTTAGCTTATCAAAGTAGACATCGGCGTGAAGTCTACTTTGATACAAAAAGTCTCTATGCAGTGTTTGCTAATACGGTTTATGTGGTTATTTTTTCAGAGAATGGCTCAAATTCCAGTTGTGTACGGTGAGTGGAAGATTAAGGAGAATTCATAGCATTTTGTTGTTGACATGGGCAAAGGTGGAAGAATGTGGTTTTTGAACGATGGTTGCACCTTTGGGCAGCTTACTGAAATGGCGCGAGATGATTATAACTTGGGCAAGAAGACTGAGATCATCGAGTTAACCTACGCACTACCAGTCTCAATGTTGCAATCTATGGCTCCAGATACACCTCCAATGCATGTCACCAATGATAGACAAGTTTCAAGCTTGATTTCGTTAAGCAGAGTACATATGTTACGCCTTTGTGTGTCCTGTCGAGTGGAGATGGATACTGAGGAGAACCAGGAAGGATCAGATGAAGATTTAGGTGAGGAGTCTGAGGAAAATTCAGAACATTCTACCGATGATGAGGCAGACAGTTCTGATGTGAACGAGGATGGAGAAGATGTCGACGATGCAGCTTACTCTGACGGAGAAGATTACAGTGTCTACGGTAAAGTGAAAGATGAAGATGATGATGAAGATGAAGTCTGTATTGAAAAGGTCAGAAACCGATATGGTGAAACAGGGAGCACGCCCATGTCATGGTCTGATAATATATATGTTAGGGCAAGTTTCCCTACAAAAGAGAAGCTGTTATCAGAGGTTAGACTGACTGCCATAATGTTAAAATTTGCTTTCAAAACACAGAAGTCTACCAAGACCCTGTTTGTGGCTAAATGTCGAGTGGAAGGATGTGCATGGATGGTTAGAGCGAGCATGAAGAATGATGCATCCACTTTTTAGGTGACAAAATATGTGAAAGACCACACATGTTCAATAGCCCATCGAATGGCTCACCGTAGGAAGTCTACTCCTAAGTATATTGGCAAGCTGTTTATAAGCCATTTCAGCATCATTGATGGACTTACACCAGAACATGTCAGGGTTTCAATGAAGCATATGTTTGGCATCAAGATGGATTACACTACCTCTTACAGATCTTTGATATATGACCAACAATTGGTCAGGGGAACAGCTGAAGATGGATATTGGAGTCTCCCAGCTTACCTACATTCGGTGAACAAAGCTAATCCGGGAATTGTATCAGCTCTTCATGTAGATTCGAATAACAAATTCAAATATCTATTTCTCGCATTTGGAGCATCAATTGCTGGTTTTCAGTACATGAGAAGAGTTATTGTGGTTGATGGATGTCATCTAACAGGGAAATACGAGGGTACTTTGTTGGTTGCCACCGCACAAGATGGAAAGTTTCAGATTTTTTCTTTGGCATTTGGAATTGTTGATGGTGAAGATGATGCTTCATGGGAATGGTTTTTTTCTAAACTGCGTGAATGTGTCCCAGATGGTTATCCTTTGGTGATAGTTTCTGACAGACATATTTCTATTAAGAAAGCTTGTGAAACTATTTTCCCATGGGCAAAACGAGGGATCGGCTACTACCATCTACAACATAACATAGTAACAAAGTTTAGGGAGAAGCAGTTGCTGTACTTGGTTAAACGTGTGGCTTATGCTTACAACCTCTATGACTACAACCGGTACATGGCGGAGCTGAGACAGATCAAGCCTGACCTTGCTGACTATTTGGAAGAAGCCGATGTCTCTCTTTGGTCCCGAGTTCATTTTGTTGGAGACAGATACAATATTAAGACTAGCAATGTTGCAGAGTCTATAAATGCTGCACTTAAGAAGGCCCGTGGCTGTCCCATTTCATTCCTCTTGGATTTCATACGAGAGAAGCTCGGTCGGTGGATTTTAAAACGCAGGATGCTTTGAGTCTCACAACACATAATACTCGGGGAGTGGAGTATTTGCTGGCGATTCGTGGACATTATGCAGATGCAATGGAGGTGGACCGAATTGACACTTGGAGATACTATGTGAAAGGAGGAACCAGGAATTGTATTGTTGATTTGGAACATGGAATGTGTGAATGCGGTGTGTTTTATATCGAGAAGATCCCATGTTCACATGCTATTGCAGCTGCATTAGCCGGTGGGATAGCTGTGGATTCCCTAGTATGTCCGACTTACTCAAAAAACTACTTGTTTGCCGCATACTCTGCCAACATATATCCCCAAATTGCAGAGGTCCAAGGAGGCCCGACATCAATATGTCTGCCACCAGACATTCGCCGTGCACCCGGCAGACGGAAGAAGTCTCGGTGGCAATCATGGCTAGAAATTGCTAGGAGGAAAAGCAAGACGCCAAGGAAGCTGCACAAAGTATACAGCTGCTCCCAATGCAAGCAACCTGGTTATACCCTACCGAATTGTGTAAGTTGAGCTAAACTCATCTAACAATGTTGAAATTTTTTTTTAAATACTTAGCCGTCGAAGATTCACCAGGAAAATAACAAGAAGGCTCCGGAATAGGAAGACAAAGCATCTATTGTTCTCAAAGAAGTCTGCTTTGGAAGTCAACTTTAGAAGTCTATTGGGGAAGTCTACTATCGAAGTCTACTGTGTATGTGATATTTTGTTGGCGGTTATGTTTGAAACGACTTCATATGTGTAACTGCTTTAACGACTTTAACGGTGCCTATAACCGTTGTACCTGTTTGTGTACTGTATTTTTGCTTATAAATTCTCGGGTTTAGACGAATTACAGTTTCATTCCAGACCCCTTGCAGATGTCGAACCAGATAAACTTCAACTCTCTCCCTTCCGACATTATGTGGGATATCCTCTTAAAAATCACTTCTCGTTCCTACGGTGGGCTCTGTAGAGCAAGGGTTTCCTCCAAACATCTAAATGAGATTTCTAATGAAGAGGATTTTTTAAGAGCCGTTGATCTAATAACTTTGACGATTCCATGGGTCTGGGATCAACATGGGAGGGTTGACGCTTTCTTTCGACGTTGTTTGGAGTGTAGAAATCCTACAGCGCAATACCTACGAGCTGTTTCTCTAATCTTCTATGAAGATAGCATCCAAGAAGGATTTGAGTTAATACAGGTGTCATCAAATGGAGGATGCCTCATGGCTACTTACTCCATGGTTATGTTCTCTTTAACCATGGATGGTAGCCATGATGTATTTAACCACATTCGAGGTATAGTTCCGGCAGAGGCAACGAAGATGAGGAAGACTATGCAGCACCTAAACAGGTGTCCGACCACTTATAAGAAGCCTGACGCGTTTCACGAACCGGTCTTCCTTGTTTTTGATAAGGCACAATCAAGGAGTTGTGCCTGTATGAATCTGCCAAACCAGCACTGAATGGATGATGAACGCCTCGTGGACTCATATGGTGACAAACTCTGCAGTCCTTGCTTCTGGAAGTTAGAATGTGCCTTATTCTGGAAAACAATTCCTGGATTTGCAAATGAATGGCCGCGGTGAAATTATTTGACACCATGTTTTATGTTTTTTTGGGTTTACTTATATGTTTACATGACTATGGTAGACTTCGTTTGTAGACTTATAATTCTTATTTTAATAAAACTTTTTCAAACTTTTTCAGTGTACACTATCGGTGTACACTTTTTCGGTATCTACTTGTTTGCCGTATACACTTTTTGGTATACTCGAGTTGTAAGGGTGAAATCGAAAATTAGAAATACTAACATGTTAATAGACTTAGTAGACTTCAGTACAGATACAATTACAACTTAGTAGACTTCAGTCAAAGACTTCAGTCGTAGACTTCACTTTGAGTACAATATCCTAAACGAAAATACAACATATTTGGCAAGTTAATTATGAGATAGGTGGCCAAAAAACTTCCACACCTATCATCTACTAATTGCTAAAATGACCTCCAATCACATTGAAGGTCATTTATGCAAGTAGCCCAAAAGTTGCCATAAAAAATCAAAGTTAGTTTTAAGAACGGAAACACTAAGCTTGCCTATCATAGACATCCAGCCCGGTTGCATCTAGCTTATCATGGCCCTTACATCATGTTTCGTCATAGAGCTCTGCAGCCATTTTCTCCCTGATTTTTCGCATGTTTTTATCGCAAAGTTCCGGAGGAAATGGTAAATCCAATGCATGACACTCGATGTACTTCAGGCAGTACACTCCGCAATCACCACTCTGAATGTTTTGAGGTATCTCCGTACCTGGTACTCGCGAATGGGTGAACGGCGTGTAGGGGAATCTCCACTTGTCATCATCAGGTGCACAGGTCTGAAGAAGGTAGGGTATCATAACCGCAAGAGGCTCCACAGCTTCAGCAATTTGTTCGTCAGATGCATGTTTGGTTGCCGCATGGCTATCCCATACCGTGATATGCTTCGTCACAAATGAGACCCATATTGCTACCCAATGGTCCTCCCTAATGTGCAACATGGAGTAAAAATAGTCGACATCATATGCCCACGTCTTCTTAGTCTGGCAGTAGATAGGTAATTCGCTAGTGTAGTACGAATATGCTCCAGGCGGTAGAAGTTTCTCAGACCCATCTGCATTCGGCTCGGATTGTTTGAAGGCTTCGTAGTCACGCCTCCAAACAGTAGCAAACATGGAGTTCAGAAAGCAAATCCGGTCGGATACAAACCACTCCGGATGCTTGGATAATCGCAGCCTGAGTAGGTTGATGTAAGCTTCCATGTGCTGCACATTGGGGAAAATAAGAAATGAGTGAAGTCTGCAAACGAAGTCTATTATATAAGTCTACGGAAGAAGTCTAAACACGAAGTCTACTATGATAAAGTAAAACACTAACCGTATCAGCTAGCCATTTCGTTGGTGTCCAGAGAATGTAATACCAATCGATCGAAGAGTGTCTTGGGCGTTTTGGCCAGGCACTGTACAAGTGAAAGAGTTAGATAGGAAATAATACTATGAGGAAGTCTACTTACATACGTATAGAAGTCTACTTACGGGTTTGATTGTATAAAGTTCATTAGAGTGGTATGCTTCGCCCTGACACTGGTTTGATCAAAAGGATCATATCCACGGGCACGGCCGGAGTGAGATGCCGACGATGGAATGATGGCCTTTGCGGTGCTGTTTCCTAAGAAGGGACTCCTCTGTGTCGCAGCCAGCTGGCAGTGTCTGGCACTCGTTGCTCGGGCAACTAGCTGAGCCGCTTCTCTGGCTTTGGCATTTTTGGCAAGTGCAACCGCGTCGAAGTCAACATCACACGTCTTCGGGTCAATTTCACAAATACTAGGCTCTGGGGCCTCTTCTTCATTCACGGCAGCCTTCTTTCCTTTTGCATCCTCGGGGGCGTTAACACTCTCACACGCACCAACGTTGACATTAGCTTTCATCGGAGCATCATCTTTCTCTGAATTACTCTGCAGTTTATTGTCAGAAACATGCATGAATATACAAATGAGTACACCAATGCTATAATTTAGTAACATGTTTTATCATAGTCTGAAAATTGTAAACAACAAGTTTTGAAAACATAAGTAAATAATCGCACATGGTACATAACAGTAGTAAACATGTTCGAATTTAAATGACATTAGTATTAAGTATTCCTAACTTTGTGTGATCTTGTTCGCATGTAATGTTTTCGTATAGGCGGAGGGTTTTTGGAACTAACCCCTTCATGCTTCTTGGATCCAGTGCCCTGCTGGTGGGTTGGCTCGTCCTCAGTGTGCTTCGCCGACCCCGTAGTCAACTCTTCTACCGCACGCTCTACAGATTCAACCTTCTCGGTGAGAAGTTTGATCTGCTTTTCACAGCTACCAAGACCATTCAGCATCTTGGTTGAAAAGCTTTTGAAGCATTGGTCGAAGTGCGCTTTCATAGTAGCGACAACTCCGACCCCTTCATCACCAACGAATGATGCGGCAGATGCAGAGGCTGTGCGGGATCTCTTGCGACTTGATTCATCTGAGGGAAGGCTCCTCTTTCCGGCTTCTGACTTGACGATGTGTGCACCCAAAACACCTCCCAAAGGCCAATGGTTTTTTGAGAACTTGAAATTGGGGTCATGGAGTGCACTGACAATCTTGACAATATCTGGATCCTGTTCGTCATCATCCCAGACGGGAAACATATCCGCCAAGTCCTTAGCCACGCAGCACTGTATGCGAGCCTGGAAAAACACAATTAATAAATAGATCTAGGGCCATATGAAGCCTCGGAAAACTACGTATGAAGTCTACTCCTGAAGTCTAACAATGAAGTCTACTCCTGAAGTCTAACACAGAAGTCTACACCTGAATGTCAAACACAATTAATTATACATATAGAAGTCTACACATGAAGTCTACTTCTGAAGTCTACATTGGAAACTCATTACTAACATAGAAGTCTACTACACTAATACAGTACCTGTTTTAGCATGTTGGCTTTGACGTTCTTTCGTCCTCTGGATCCTTTGTAAGCCAGCAAAAGAGGTTCTTCAGTAACATTTGGCAATGGTTCGCCAAATTCAGCAGCAAAATCCGGTAGAGCATAGTACACCCACACTTGAAGAGCTTGCACAAATCCTTCTATATAAATGTTTTTGCTGAGATCTTTCTCCTTAACAGAATTGATCAAATGCTGAAAAGCAATTCTTCCCCATGGAAACTCCTTAAAACCTTCGAGATCCATCACTAGTCTGGCATGGTTGACATTTGTGGATGAGCCGGGTCTCGTTGCCACTATGAAACCAGCGTAGATCCCAAGATAACCCAACCGCAGCCTATCATCACGAGACCATGATGAGCAGTTGGAACAGGCTTCAATAATTTCGATGGTGCTTGGGCCCGACTCGGCATCAACCCCCATTAGCTCCCAAAATGCACGCGTGTCATCGGAAAGAAGATCAGTTAAAGCCAAGTCATCCACGTACCCGCAGTTGAGTCCGATGATCTCCTCAAACTCATGCAATGAAAACCGAACTGGAGTGGTACCAATCAGGCTCCATATCTTGTACCTCTGCTTGCAAACTATCTGAAAGGTGAGCATGTGGTGCACCAGCCTAGAAGCCCAACCAAAATCCAACTCGTGGAACTTTAAAAAGACACCCAACAGTGACTCGAAAAACTCTTCCCATTCATCCTCTTCTAGAGCTGACTTTAGTGCAGGGACCAGCCTATAATCATCAGCGTAATAGCCGATGCTTTTATCCGGGGCTGGCTCAAACCCTTTGGTGTAAAGTCTTCTAGGGAATTCAGAGGCCACCATTATCTAACAAAGATTCCTGCATCAACGGTAACAAATCTCTAATGAGAAAAACTAGTCACGGTTTTAAACTATACACGAATGAAGTCTACATTTTCAAAATGAAGTCTACTTTATCAAAATGAAGTCTACTTTATCAAAATGAAAGTAAACTTTATCAAAATAAAGTCTACTTTCCCAAAATGAAGACCCTAAACCCAAAATGAAGTCTTCTTTCAAAAAAAGAAGTCTACTTTCCCAAAATGAAGTCTACTTTCTAAAAAAGAAGTCTACACATGAAGTCTACTTTCACAAAAAAAAATGTACTTTCCCAAAATGAAGTCTACTTTCACAAAATGAAGTCTACTTTCACATTCTAAGTACAATCCGAGTCGCGAAGTCTACTGAAGCCAACCGAAGCAATCTTAACATAAAAAACAGTATATGAAGCAATCAAAACATCATAAATACTACATATGAAGTCTACAGAACCCAACCAAAGCAATCAATACATGATAAATACTGTATATGAAGTCTACTAATACAAATCATTGAAATGGAATCTACATAGTTTATAGTTTTACCGCCTTTATTAGATGAAGCTGGCGTCGAGAAAAAAAAACCTAGGTCATACATAAGATAGAAGAAATTTAAGAATTGCTAAGTATATAACTTCGGAACAACATCTACTAATCGTTTTGAGGCAGGAAATGACGTTAACCTCCAACGGCGAAAGCAGATCTGCAAAAAAAAAAAAAAACCCTAATTTCAGATCTGGAAACTGGGGGTTACGAAATCGGAACTGTGATGAAAACGAAGGAGTAGGGAAGCATGGAGGTGTGGTTGGAGAAAGAAACTTGCCTGAACGAGTTTATCGGCGGCGGTTCTGTATATCGGCGGCGCCGGAGCAGAGAAGCAGAAATCGCCTTCGACATTTTTTTTTTTACACGAACTTTCGACGGTTTTTTTTTAACGGGATCTGTAAAATTCGTATATATAGTCTGGTAATTCCGTACGGTTCGGGTAAGTTTAGTTCGGTTAAGGTTACTAATTTTCCGGGGTCTAGGTAAATTTACCCGGTTAAAGGCAGTTTCTCTTGGTTAAGGGAAGTTATTCCCGGTTTAATCTCCGTTTAAATTTCGGTTAGGTTAATTTATTCGGTTTAGTAGACTTCAATATCGAAGTCTACAACTTTTAAAACCTAAATAACAAATTTACTTCTACTTAATTTAAAAATATACATTTCTATTTAACAATGTGAAAAATAATTTCTGTGCAATTGGGTTACGATTACGGAATTTATGATGGTAAATTTCATACCAAAATAATTTTTTATAAATTTTTAAATTAAATTTACAGATTTAATTACTTAGTAGACTTCATTTTCACTTTAGTAGACTTCGTTAGGGAGTAAACGGTAATTAGAACATCCATTTTTTGTTTACTTATACGGGATTAAATGGTCTTTTCACTACCCTTTAGGTTATTTCTGCCAAATGTTTTTTTAGGGATCTACTTTTGTATTCAAAATCAAGTTTTGGATTATTTTTAGCAAAAACCTCAAAAATTAAAGTTGGAATTAGATCTGGAATTATTTTTCTGAATCTGATTTCTGATCTGGTGTCTGCTCCAATCCGATCCATAAAATCGGATATCCATATAGTTCGGATACGGAGCGGATCAGAGCCGGATACCTTGAAAACATCAGTCTAAAAAAAATACTCAACAAAGTTAAATACGCTGTAGTTTATGCCTCATTCTTCCTTTTACCCTTAAATAACCGTCGGACTCGTGTTTCTCGCCTCCGCCGGCGAACAGTTTTCTCTCTCTGAATCTCTCTCAATTTCGTGGCCTAATTTCTGCCACAAAACCCTAATTTTCTTAAACCCCTAAATTTTCTGTTGATTCTCATACAATTGCTTCAATTTTGTTGTTGATCTCCGAAGCTATTGTTTTTACGAATCTCTTATCTAGCTGCATTCTCCTGGAATCGGGATTCAGTCAGACCCGAATGTTACAGTTTGACTCGTGAGCTCTTTCGCTAATTTCTGTAGAATTTTTATGCAATGACGGTGCATAATGGAGGAAACTAAAGGAATCTGTGATCCGGAGAATGGGAGCTCGAGTTACGGCGGAAAACCGCCGAATCCTCTCTCCTTCTCTTCTTCTTCTTCCGCCGCCATTTATAGGCAGAGCTTTGACGGCGACCGCTTTTTGTCGCCGTGTAATAAGAGGTCGCTGGTTCGACACCCATCTCTCGTAAGATTCCTTTCTTCCAAAGTTGGTTTTAGGATAATTCAGGGTTTATTATTATTAATGTACATTGATTTTGCAATGAATTCAGCGGATTTTTTTACTTAATGCGACCTTTGGATGTTTAATTTAGCTGAATTTTGTAATAATTGGTTTGCTTTTGATTATTTAGTTGAATATAGTGGAATTGGAGATTCATTGAAGTAATTGTAGTGCAAAAAGGAAATTTTCCTTTTGAGCCTTACTTATATAAAAAGGCTTTTAGGTTTTTGTAAACATTATTCACAAAGTTAAGAAAAACCCTAGACGAAAAGGTATTTATTTGCCTCAATTTGATTGTTACTTGTGTTTTTGTCTGCTATATTAAAAAAAAAAAAAGAGTTCTTGTTTTGATTGTGTCGCTATGAGATGCTTTGAGGTTTCTGACTGCTAAAATTTGGTAGGTGAAGACGAAGGTGTCAGATATATCTGTTGAGAACGATTTTACTTTAGAGAAGAAGAATAAGTCTGAGTTTGAGTTTGTTCCTGCTATGCGTTCTGGAGCTTGGTCTGATATTGGCTCGAGGTCAAGCATGGAAGATGCTTACCTATGCCTCGATAATTTCATGGATAGTTTTGGTCTCAAAAATTCTGAGGAAGGACCAAGTGCCTTTTACGGGGTAGACTCTTTTTTTACCTTTCTTTATCTAACAAGAGCGATATAGATGTGAACTTAATTATTGTCTTCCTTTTCAGATCACTGTGAATGTCATAGAAGTGTGGAATCTCTTCTTATCCTTTTTGTTTTTGTTTTTATTTACGTCAGGTATTTGATGGACATGGTGGGAAGCATGCGGCTGATTTTGCATGTCACCATATACCGAGGTACATTGTTGAGGATCAAGAGTTTCCTAGTGAAATCAATAAGGTGATTTCTTCGGCGTTCCTTCAAACAGACACCGCCTTCTCAGAGGCTTGTGCATTAGATGGGAGCCTTTCTTCAGGAACTACTGCTTTGGCAGCTATTCTCTTTGGGAGGTTTGTTTTCTAATCCAACTCTTCTTATCTTTCACGACAGTTACCTTAGACTACATAGATAGTTCAGCAATGTGTGATTATCTTTTGTTGGCCCCAACTAGTTGTGTCGTGTGATTATCTTTTGGGAAAATTTTTAGTTGTTCTCTACTTATCCTTCACATCTTGGTTAAATATGAAAGTACTTTTTATCTTAAACTGCGTAGTCTGCATAAGCTCGACCTTGAGAACAATCCAGTACCACTAGTTTTCTTGTAGATTCTACTCTACTCGTATTTGCTGCTGCTACTGTACTTATTGTCTCAGCTTTACATTTCTTCCTTTGGCAATAGTTTGAATAGCAATACTCGGATACAGGCTAAGGTCTTCTAGTCTCATATCATATTCATGCTATTTTTTTTACCCTTGTGTGAATTCTATTATTTTCTACTTTGTTTATAGGTCATTGGTGGTGGCAAACGCTGGAGATTGTAGAGCAGTCTTGTCCCGTCAGGGAAAAGCTATTGAAATGTCAAAAGACCACAAACCTATGAGCAGTAAAGAGAGAAGGCGCATCGAGGCATCAGGTGGATCTGTATACGACGGCTATCTAAACGGGCAGCTTAATGTGGCTCGTGCGCTTGGTGACTTTCATATGGAAGGCATGAAGAAGAAGAAAGACGGCTCTAACGGTGGACCTCTCATTGCAGAGCCTGAGATCATGTCAACTAAACTAACCGAAGAGGACGAGTTCCTTATAATCGGGTGCGATGGGGTTTGGGATGTGTTCATGAGCCAGAATGCTGTTGATTTTGCTAGAAGGAGACTGCAAGAGCACAATGACCCGGTCATGTGTAGTAAAGAGTTGGTTGAGGAAGCTTTGAAGAGGAAGAGTGGGGATAATGTGACGGCGGTTGTTGTGTGTCTTCAGTCGCAGCCGCCGCCGAACTTGGTTGCACCGAGGTTGAGGGTTCAACGGAGCTTCTCGGCGGAAGGTTTAAAAGATTTACAGAGCTACTTGGATAGCTTGGGTTGCTAATTGGGCGACATGAGGATGGTGACGAATGGTTGAGACCTTGTTTTATTGTCTTCTTTTTTTTCTTTTTTTTTTTACAATTTATAGTTTTGGGTTTTGAAGGTTTTTTTGTTCTGTTATATTCTGGCAATTTGAGTTAAGTTATAACATGAGGCGGCATACAATAATTAAATGTTTGATAGGATTTATTTTTTATCATACTTCACTTGATATGCTTTTCCATAATGATAATTTTATCAGTTTCATTTGTTTGTTATTCCCGATTATGTAATTTATAACATACGAACCTTGTTATGGCATTTCAGAATGAATGGGCTTCGAATGATGATTATCATATATGTAATGTCACCTGTTTCAAACTCCAAAGACAACATGTGCCAACTTGAAGAGTGCATTTTCGAAGAAATCAAATCCAATGTACCAAGTTTAACTGGCTTAAACAATTATTATGAGAATCAGTCTTCCCTAAGTTTAGGAAGCATCTCCACCTTCCCTAAATCCTGTTTTGTAGGAGACTAGGAGTCAATAGTTCCACTTTATTTAAATCAATAAAAAACCATAAAGAGGTAGTTTAACTACCCAAAAATACTTTAGTTTTTTCTTTAAGTACATTCTCTTAGCTTTGAAGAGAGACCAAAATTAGCATGTGTTGCTAACATTTGGTATCAGAGCCTTTGTTTCGGTTTAATCGGAATCAAATCGTACCTATCGTTCGTTTTGGTTTCGATACACAATTTGTAATGTCAAAAGTATTATCACCAAAAGATAACGAATACATAACCGATATGATGGAATCAAACCTTGGAAATCTAAAGGAGGAGATAACCAATATGAAGTTGGATCTAACAGAGGAGGTGACCAAGATGAAGTTGGATTTAAAAGAGGAGATAACCAAGATGAGCTTGCATATAGGAGATAAGTTCCACCAGCTTATTACTTCAATCAACCAGGTCAAAGAAGCATTTAGAAGTTTTCAAGAAGAGTTAAACACAGCTCAAAGCGGTCACAACGTTGAGAAGACAATAGCGTTTACTAAGCTAACCGCTATGAAATCAACTGGTCCAAAGGCTCCACAGAAGCTGCAACATATCACGAAGGTCCTATGATGCACGAGGACGTCACCTAGCACATATCTCTCGTACAGAAGCGTTTCGGAGACTGCGTCAAAACGTATCTGGGACGTTTCGCACAAGCTGGGGACGGCAAGCAGAAAACGGGGACGACAATGCTCTTTTATGGGGACGTTTCCGAGACGTTTCGGTTACAAATTAGGGCGTTTCTGGTTAAGAATTACTAAAGAAACTAATTTTTCCAAAATAAAACTAAAATAATCCTCTATACATTAAACATGAAGAATTTAGAGGCTATTTTGCTGAGGTGTTGCTCCCACAATTTTTCTCAGCATTTTTCTTTTAAATAATTCATTATATTCCACCTATGATTATTTCCTTATTTATATCCCTCCTCCAATTAGAATTTAATTTATTATTTACTAATTTTTTAATTCGTTTTCCTTATTTAGCTCAACTGACTTCTTTAAAAATTTATGATTTATACATGCATAATTTTCATTTCATCTACCTTATTTTCAACACAAAACAACTATATACTAATATAAATTGACAAAGCAATCGATTGATTAACAAAATTTAAATTTAAATTATTACTATCTTTATTTTCTTATTTTTATGCAAAATTTCTATTCACATTCATATCATAAATCAACATTCTGAGAAGTACAAATTTTATTATTCTACATAATTATTATTATACAAATGAGGTATGTATTTATACAATTGATAATTATAATTATATTCACTCCAATATACATGATCACATATTCCCGCTTCATAAATTTCAAATCTTAGCTACAATATTGTTTACATTAATGTGTCAATATACGTGATCCCATAATCTCGGTTCATTTAATTTTAAAATTTAATAACCGTAATAATGAAGAAATCATACTCTACCTTAAACTTTCTCGACACAATTAAATGATTAAGCATAAATGGAATCAATGTATGCATATTCCAAATTTATCAGTTAATGATTATATTACCTTCCTATATTATCGTAACCGTATCAATCTGAAATTATATAACCGAATTTTAAATCATTGTTTGGATAGTCTAAACAAGCCCTATATTTCCGATATATTTTAGATGCACTGTACCTACCTAAATCAAAATATTCCGTATTTCCGTATATGTAGAAGTAATTAAACAAAATAGACCCTTTATGGAAAACGAGCAATATTGCAAATTGAATATCTCAAAATTGCCTAAATCTATCAAATTTCAACGTCATTTCAAATTCAAATTCATAATTGACCGCCTACAATATTTTCCCTCTTCTAAAGATTGTATCGAAGATTTACCCTAGACTCACCACATTCATCATTTCGCTATATATAGTTACCACTGTTGATATCGAATTCATCATCCCAGCTAAGCAATATTTAGCTTACATACTCCCTTTTGCAAAGTTTGCGATGTCGACCTTCACATCCCTCACTGCCCTAAAGCCATTCAAAACTCAATGGAGGATCCCTGTCAAGATACTGAAGTTGTGGAAACAGTATTTGAATGGGATCGAGAAGATGGAGATGGTCGTTGTCGATGAACTGGTATTGTTTTGTACTTTGTTTGTTCGATATTCATACTGATCCATTTTGATAATATATATATTATTTAACGTTTTGCTTATTATTATATTGCCATGCAGAATCAAACTATGCATGTTAGTATGAAGAAGCAGTTCATAAAAAAATTTGAAAATCTTCTAGAGGTAGGAACTACTAAGATCATCACTAATTTTCAAGTCACTCACAACGGTGGTAAGTTCAGGACTACTTCTCATGTTTACAAGATCCAGTTTGCTGCCACGACGTCTGTCAGACCTTCTGAAGATCTGGATGCCACAATTCTTGGGTTGAAGTTGGTGAACTTTGCTGATATTCACGAGGGCAAGTTGAATCCTGATTTTCTAATAGGTAAATGGTATATTTATATCTCGCATACATTACTAATATGAACCAAAGCATATTACATCTAATTATTGGTTTATGTTTTTATTTTGCAGATATTGTTGGACAAATTGTTAGTATTGGTGAGGTTGAGATTCTCAACGTTAACAAAAAACAGACCAAACGTCTAACAATGACACTTCGTGACACCAGGTTTTTAATTCTTTTTGACACCTAAATATTGTTAATAAGACGTCTAATATATTTTTTGTTTTTTTAGTGATGTGCGCCTGAATTGTATTCTCTGGGGGAATTATGCCGAAAGTTTGGAGAGTGTTGCTACACATGCAACTAATGCTATCATTTGTTTTGTGTTAAGATTTGGAAAGTTAAGATTGTATCAAGGTACGAGAAAAATGTTTTTTGCTAACAAACAAAATATCGTTTTTAAAAATATATATAACTTTCAAGACATTTCATTATTTAGGTGTATGGAGTATTGACAATTGTTACAGTTCTTCCATTGTGATGACAGATCCTGATCTCCCTGAAATAAATTCTTTTAGAAACCGGTATATTCATATCTATAACTTTTATCAATTTTCCATTTAGTTTACTTTCATGTCACTAAAATCCATGATTTTTTTTCCTTTACAGCTTACCAAAAGATGATGTGACTTTGTCATACACACACCCTAACCAATTGACAATTGTCAATTCTGTTTCTGTAAGAGATGATTTCTTCTTACATACCCCTCGCCAGACAATAAGTGAAATACTTGGTGCATCTGAGGTATTTATTTTGCGTGATATACATATTTCTTAAACAACAAATGGCGATTGGGTTTTTAAAAGAAAGTAATGCTTCAATTATTAGGTTGAAAAATGTGTGACTATGGCTACCATCATGTCTATTGACACTGAGTTTGGATGGTACTATATGTCATGCAAAGTATGCTCTAAAAAGGTGCTTCCTCTTGATATAGATTTGTTGAAAGAGCAATATCCTGGTAGGCCATTTCCTAAACAGTTGTGGAAATGTGGCAAATGTAAGGATGATGTTGAAAGTGTCGTACCAGCGTAAGTCTTGGATGCAATTTGTAGAAAAAAAAGAATATTTGTAATTTCCATATATATTCATATTCATATGTTGTTCTATGCTAACATAGGTTTATGCTGACTTTCCGTGTTATGGACAACACTGGCGAAACAAAGTTCTTACTCTTTGATAAGCTTGCCATGGAAGTTGTAAATCAAACAGCTGCACAATTGACTGAATCTGTGGAAGAGGTAGTTATGCAGATTACTATCAACTCTATTATAGTGAATCTTACTATATATATTAGATATGCTTATATGTTTGCTAAACTGCTTGCAGATCCAAGATCCAGATGTACTCCCTCTTCCAATTAGTAACATTTGTGGGAAAACTTTTCTGTTCAAGCTATCTATTGAGAGTTCAAACATCGTTTTCAACAGTGATGTTTACAAAGTTACAAAGATTGTGACCCAAAGTGACATGGTCAAAGAATTCTCAAAAATATCCGGATTTTTGGTTTGATCCCTAAACTATTTATTCCTATTAGTATTTATTCATATTTCATTGCCTTTTGATCTTTGTTAACTTATTGTTTTATTTATAGACTACCCCTGATGTCAAGTCTGAGGAAATGGGGTTTATAACTCCCGATGAACAGGTTTGCTATTTAGGAATTAGATGCCTCTCATTAATATTATATGAATGTGCAAAAACGTATTTGTTTAAATTTGTCATTTTAGGTTCCTAAGATGTTACTTGACATTGGCGACGATGATAATTCACCACAGTCAAAAAGGAAAAGCGATGAGATAATTGACTTTGATGATCATAATGGAGAGCAGTCTACTTCTAAGAAAGCTGCTAATGGCGACATGAAGGCTTTGGCGAGTGAAGTAAAGATTTATCTGAAGCCTGTTAAGAAGGAGAAAGTTGATGACTGAAGTCTTCGTTTCTTTAACAATATGCATTCTCCTGCTTGCTTTGTTTTCTAGGACTTACTACAATATCTCATTGTTTAAGTTTCGGTTATTTTTTCCTAGCCCGTAGGATTTGTCTTTTTCCGTTTTCAGTTTTGCGGTGGTTTGTTATTTGAAGTTTAATAAAAGCAGGAATTTTAAACTATATTATATTTTGCTACTTAATTAGTAACTGCTGAATTTTAATTTATTAGTATAAATAACAAAGTAAAATACCTACATGTACAGAAGGTTTCGCCAAACTCAAGCCTAATATGAAAAGAAATTCTGCATGGCAATTTAAATTTACAACATTCATGCAAGATATTTGGAGTCATTAATACTTTGGCAATACATATATTTTTTTAGCACTTACAAGTACAGTTGTATCCTAAAACAACTCTGTATTTAAATATAAAATTAGAAATATATTTACATTTTATAAAATTAGGAAAACGATCATAACTACTATATTATGTCGTATATAGATGCTAATTGGTGAATATTAACACAACCAATCATAATTAAAAGAACTTAAACTAATTCCTAAAGTTTCCATGTTTAGATAAATTCTCAATATATTTGTAATCTTAATAAATCTTTAGAATATTGTAACTATCCTATTAAGATGCATACTACTTTTAAATTATTAATATTAAATATATCCTACAGATATATCGATTCTCTACATTCTCACAAATCTGTAGAAAAATGAAAAAGAACAAAAATTCGTCTTCTGCAATGGATAAAGATCATGACATCCTAACCAAAAGACCTAAACTGGATTTCATTAACCCAGGTATAAAAGTTATGGTTCATTCGCTAATAAACTCAAATTTATACTCGGGTTTGTATATTCTTAAGAAAGTACAAAAAATTACTTAAGAATCCGATTTATAAATGTTCTATCTAAAAGTTCCACATATATTTTTGTATTATTTACAGAACACAATGGAGATATTCAAGTTACCCCTGCACGAGTACCATTACCAGTACCTATCTCAAATCCTGATGATTTCGAAAATAACGTTGGAGATATCATTAATATTCAGAACTCCCCGACCACTTCAAGTACTCGGAAAAGGAATCAATGTAGTTTGAGTACGTATTATATTTATTTCCTATGGGCCAAGATGAAACATCATTGAACAACTTATATTGCTCAACTATTTATGATTGTTTGGTAATTAGATAATAAACATGGACTGAAACATCGATGTTTTTATTATATACAGATGCCAATGGGGAGAATGAAGTTACCCCTAAACGAAAAGCATTGCCAGTTCCAATTTCAATTCCTGGTGTTTTCCGAAATATATTAGGAGATATCAGTAATACCCGAACTGGCCCCAGTGCTTCAAGTTATCCTAAAAGAAACCAACTTAGTCCAAGTACGTAGTTTATTTATTTTCATTGTAATCAATTTATTCATTGACAACTGCATTATCTTTAAATTTTGTTGTTCTCCTGTAACATCAGTAACAAGAAAAGAAAATTACACAAGTACACAAAAATGTTTTTTTAACCCTTCTTCTTTATGTTTAGTGGTAACTTAATGAAACCTCTTTTATAACTAAATTATTTTCTTTATAATATCTAGCAAGTCCAGTCACTCCATGTTATGGCTCAAATCAATTTCTGCCAACTATACCAACAGCAAATATTTGTGATAGTCGATATTCTACATCAGGATACTCAAATATCACATATAACCAAAATCCTGATACGACCAGAAGGAAAAAAACTCAATCAAGTAAGCTTATTTTTATATATTTAGTTTAATATTTTGTTTATTTTTTTAAAAAAGTTAAATACTTATGACTACTTTGTTTCATATTCATTTTCAGGAAAATTAGATCAACCCATTGTTGGAAATCATGTTTTACCCGATAGAAACTTGACAGATGTCACAAGAAATCTCAAATTCAACGATGGACCTTCAAGTTCAAGAAATAAAAATCTAGAATTGAGTCATCCATCTAAAAGTTCTAGAACTGCATGTACGTTTATATTTCTTTCAATTCAATCTCTATTGTATCATTTAGGTTTTATATAATGAGTTTTTCATTTTTTGATTTACATCAACTAGCAAAACTAAGAGATGATCCATCAAGATACAACACATGTGAAAAGATTGAGTCTGCCCGTATCCTTAATAACTTAGTTGTTATATCCTGATTTTTTATATACTTGCTTAATTAAAGAGATTGCTCTATCACAATTGTGTCCTTCATATTATCAATTAATAGTTGTTTCGTTTTGGAACTCTGCTATGGAGAAAGCAATGCAACCATGTAATAAATCACCCAAAACTACTTCGCAATCAGGTATCATGTATTAAATATGTTCAAATCTTTGTTTATAATTATGATGTATATGACATAGAAATTATCTTCAATCTTATCTAACATATTGATAAGTTGGTTTATGAAAATAGGCTCTGTTACTTCATCGACTTCTACTTTATCTAACAACCATGGAAAAAAATCAGTAAGGAAAAGGAAAGGTATAATCATGTATTAGTTGATAGGGTAATTGTTAAATACTTTAATTTAATTTTGGACGTACTTTAATTGTTAATATTGCTTTAATATTTGTATAGATACATCCAATGTTTCTATTCCTCAATCACAAAGTAATCCACTAAGTAACATTACCAATTCCATTTTTGAAAATCAAAGATTGTCGGATTAATAGGAGACAGATTATCTTGAAAAAGAGACATGCAAACATTCAAGCTTCAGGTATATATATTCATATTTCTTTCCACAATATTATTAATCATGGTCGTGTATTGTAAGGTATTCTATTGGTTATCGTCATTATGATTAAAGTTTTCTATATTATTTACTTCCATAAACATTACTGTGTTGTCAGGATCTTCGACAATCTATGATCCAAGTGGTTTACAATCTACACTATCATTGGAAGGTGTAGAAAGGAATTATACACCTGCAAATGATCATGGCGTCCCTGAATGTAGTACTGTTCAATCTCAATTAGATATTGGACCTGTAATTCAGCCTAATGGTAACGTAGTTGACTTTGGATGTATCAGCTTACTGTTTACTGATATATAATAAATTATAATTCATCATGTTATAGGGTACTACGATGATGGCGACCCTATTTATCATTGTACACATTGCTCTGCCCGTATGTGGTTTAACGAGAGGATCAGCAAGAAAAAAAAAATTGAAGGCATACATTTTCACGCTTTGTTGTATGCAAGGAAAAGTAAAGCTCCCAATGTTACAACAACCTCCTCCTCTAATGTTATATCTCTTCACAAGTGACGATGAGATTTGTCGTCATTTCCGTGAAAATATTAGAGCATATAACATGATGTTTTCTTTTACCTCTATAAGGCAAAATAAATCATGATATAAACAAAGGTAAAAGACCACAGGTTTTTCAGCTACATGGTGAAAACTACCATCTTATTGGTATTTGATGCCTAATGCAAATGAAAAACCCAAGTTCTTACAGCTTTATATTCACGATACAATTAATGAGATTCGTAATAGAGAACTTTCATTAAGGTACATAATTATTTATTCATTGTTTAATTCTGACTGTGTTTACGTAGACTAATTTTCACCATGCTTTAACATTTTTCATTTACAGCAAGAATGGTAAATTTGACAACAAGCTACGGCCTGAGCTAATTGAAGCTTTAATGAAGATGTTAAACCATTGCAATCCGTTGGTTAAAGCTTTTCGTTCTTACAAGGACAGGTACCAAAATTCAGATATTGAGGATACTGTCCGAATGGTTCTAATAGCCAAGAGAGACAAAGATGCTAGAACACATAACTTGCCAACTGCAACAGAAGTTGCTGCATTAATTCCTGGTGATTTTGAAGAAGGGTTAGACAATAGAGACATTATGTTAGAAGCAAAGGATGGAAGTCTTCGAAGAATCAGTGAATTATACGTTGGTTATCTAGCTCTGCAATATCCTCTATTATTTCCTTACGCTGAAGATGGCTATCAAGTTGGTATTGAAGATGGTTTTTCACATAAAGAGGACAGAAAACGGAAGATTATCAGCATGAGAGAATATTATTCATATCGAATTCAGGATAG